TGGTGCTCTCCTCCCGCCGTGGGGCACCCCTCGGATGCCGTGTCCCCAAGCCACGATCCTAGCGTGCAGGGGGCACTGGTGCCTGCAACTGTACCTCTTTTTTCTCAGATAACCTGGCTCATTGGGGTTCTGTAGGAGACTGTATCTGTGTTTTTTTCCTAGGCCCCCGAACTAGCCCCCAGACGTTCCTTGCGCCCCACTGGGGCCTGCTCAAGCCCACGACCTACCTCATCTGCGTGGCGAGGGGAGGTGTGCCAGGCTGCTGAAGCCCATTGCTTGGGAGTGTTCAACTGCTGACCTGAAGTAACAAACGTTAAAACATGGACACCTTTTGTGAGAGGGTAGAAGTAACTCGGTTGCTGGTAGTCGCTTTTTGTACTGGTGCAAGCCTGCGATGTGTCTGAGCACCCTTCTGAAGGCATACAGACATCGAGTACTGCAGGCAGATGTTATACGCGTCTGTCTCCGTAAAATACGTGACGCATATACAAGAGAGAGCCTTTCTTCATTTTTTTGCGCTTACCATATCACCTTGTCTCTCAAGGACAGCACATTGCTAAAATGCAGGCAGAGATTTATTGGAGGGACTAGAAGGACTTTACTCCTCCTGCTCCTCTCCCTCTCAGCTCACGTCTCCCACTCCTCTGCCAGTCTGGCATCTCTTCTGCTCCACTGTGAGCTGGAAGAAAGCAAGCAACAGAGCCATCTTGCCCCTCTTTGTCCCATGGCTTGATGCAGGGAACTTAGCCCTTGCAGCGTGGCCTGCTGAGGGAGAGGAGGTGCAGCTACTTAGTTGTCCCAGAGTGGAGGCACGTCGTCTCAGGCACCGCATCCACTGTTTTTCCTGTCTTCCTCCCCCCTTCAGTAAATGCTGTCATACCTGCAGTATGCACTGGAGCATCCTGCCAGAGGCTAGCTTCGGTTCAGAAGCACTGCCACTTCAGCTGGAAGCCAGGAGTTGATTATTGGATCCTGCTTCTTCGCACAGTGTTGGGCTAAAATGACCCTGCTACCATGAACTTTGAAGGAAGTGCGGCTCTGCTCAGTCTGAGTTATTACCATTGTGCTTTGCGTAATGCAGTTGTGCACCAACTGCTCAAACTCCTGTTTCTGTCTCGTTTAGAATTCCAGTTTCATGTGCAACTTTAGAGAAGGGGATTTGGGCTCCTGAGTCACTCGGGAATCTTTAAAAGTTTTGTGCTTAGCTTGCTTATAGCTATCTGAATGGACTAATAATTACCAGAAATCATTCTGTAAATAAAGCGTTGAGAGTGAGATACTGAGTATATATACCGAGTTGTTATTCAACTGGAAATTAAAATTCTCACCATACTGCAAAATTCATAGTTAATAACTAATAATATAACCAGTATTAGATCTAACTTAATCTAGTCTTATGGTGCTTGTAATAGATGGACATTCCTCTTCAGAGCTAATTTTCAGGGTGCTTGTAAACATCACGGTCAGTTTATTCCATTTACTCTCCTGCTTTGTGGTAGATAAGACTTCAGTAAAATTGTCTGTACTCAGTATGTGCCTATAGTATCATCCAATCATCTAAATTCAGGGGCACTATTTTTAATCAGACAATATAATTGGTACTAATCTTGAAATAAATGGTGCTCCTGAGAAGCAGGAGCTCCTGTCTTCTCAGGAGCACCATCTGTGTGGCTCATATGCAATCAGCAATATTTATATTAAATGCTATATATTCTGCCTCTCCTACTGTTTGATTTCTTCTGAGTCTCATGCTATGAATCAAAACAGGAATCACAAGACCCAAGTTCTGACAAGTAGTTTCTTCCTTCAGTCTACTGATGTATACTTTGATAATACAGCTTTGTTCAGCACTTTTTTCAACTAACAGTGCTCATGCTACACCCAGTCTGCCCAGCGCAAAGTCTTCAGCTCAGTTTTCATTGTAATCTATATGAAGCTTTTTATATACCCTCCTCGTACCTTCTAAAACTTTGCTGTTTTCTCCACTTCGTCACAGTCATATGGATCTCACATTGTCCTGTCACAAAATATCACCTTATATTATCTCCAGTAGCACCTTTCTGCTCTTCATTTTCTAGAAGACCACTTGCTAATTGTTTTCTTCTTTGCATGCTTATAAAAGGGAAAAATTTACTGTACAATACTCTCCTGAGTAAAAAAAAAAAAAAAAAAAAAAAGCGCGTACATTTTTCAGATTGCCATTTTACTAACAAATGTGCTTTTCTTGTTCTTTCTTTTTTCATATCTGGTAAGGGGTTTGTAAGCAAGCTGGATGAATTCATTCACTGGTTAAATGAAGCCATGGAAACAACAGAGAATTGGACTCCTCCTAAAGCAGAGACAGACAGCCTTAAACTGTACCTGGAGACACACTTGGTAGGACAAGATTATACTATGATTACTATCAGTAATTGAAGTGTTCTGCTGTGCTTTTTACTTGATTATTATTTTTTAATTACTAGTGTGCATCTATATTTTAATGTAAGATTTGCAGCATTACAGTTTATTTTGATAAAAATACCAACAAATTATTTTCTGTATTTGAACTGTGTACTGATAGCTTTTAAAAAATTACATTAAAAGCCAGAATTACATTGCAATTCAGAAATTATCTCCAAAACTGAAAGAAAATGGCAATAGCAAAAGGAGAAAGGATAATGCTTTTTCTGCTGATTATTCTAGGATTTTTACTACACTGTAACATAACAAAACTTTTACTAGTAAGGAACTCTTATTCTCCCACCGTTTTAATGTAGTAACAGAGTAATTTAAATAAAATATTTGAAATAATTATTTCAATCATTTCACTTGATGTGCATTTCTGTCATGTAATTAATACAACTGTCACTAACCTTGTTCTTGTGCAAAAAGCTAAAACATTGGGTGGAAGTAGGAAACACTTGCATGAATAATTTTCTGAATATATTAGAGGCTAGAATTATAGATTGAGTAATATTTGATAAACCTCAAGAGACTTTCACTGAATTCTTCCAAGAGATGTTTCTGGTTATGAGGAGGTGAAACAAAGACCTGAATTAAACCAGGTATTAAGTTCTCAAAAGCAAAATTTTACGCTGTAGGTAGAGAATAGAGATCAGTATATGCAGTTCAATGGGTAGGTATTTTATCAGGGAAACTACTCTATCTGGTAAAAAAAAAAAAAAAAAAAAAAAGAATGGAAGATTAAGCTAAGAAATTCCTTCTTCCTCTGCCAAAATCTTAGGTTCTTGCCGGTATGAATTGAAGAAAACCCAGTGATAGCACTATTCTGACCCAATGAGCTAGACACCCTAGCTAGATAAAACAGTGCATTAGCTGAACCCACGTCAGAGCATCAACTCCCAAAGCTCAGTCTCATTTCCAGTCTCTGATAATCTGATGGTGAAAAATTATTTGACAGTCCCAGGAAGTCACGTGATGCATTACAGGAAAAACTGTCATCCTAATCTATCGTAATACTAGAGTGACCGTTATTAAATTAATTAAGTATACAGTAACCACATATACTATTAGAACCAAACTGAAAATCATCTTCAGAATTTCAGATATACAGAAATCTCCTTTGTGTCTTTTGTTCTTAAAAATTCTGTTGTAGTAGCGCCTACGGGCACCCCCTAGATTAAGTGCCCGCTGTGGTAGTAGTCTGTCAAATGCAGTATGAAGACACTGCATTTTCACCTTATGTAGCGGATTTTGGAATTTGCAGCAGTTTGGATTTTTGCCTTGTACTACACACATTTGGGCCCATGATTCCCATTATGGTTACAGGTGCTCTGAAGACACTGAGTACATCATGAGATCAGACCTCAGAAAAGGCATTGGTCATTTCAATTTGTTTTCCTCTTAGTCTGCAACATGAAACTTTTGGAGAGATGACTTTTTATGAGTTGCATTGCAGTTTTCACTCTTGACTGAATATAAAGAAACACATTCCAGGAACAGGGCAATCACCAGGCTGAGTCTCTGTCACAGTCAGTTTCTTTTTCCCCCTCTTCCATGGGGAGGAGCACAGTAGCTCTTTTGCAGGCAAATGACTTCCAACTTTGCCTTGTGGTTCTGTGGGAGGTGAGGCCAATACCATCTATCAGGCTGGAATGTGGAGTAGTAGCCCAGAGGCAACTCCTTCATTGCTAGAGGCAGTCAGAATAAGTGAGTATGTGGGCACCTGTACAAGTTCACTTTCCCCTGTAAGTACTTAGGCTCCTGTCTGTACTCTCTATATCTGCATCCTTGGGGTAAGAAAATCTTTGTACGTTTCAGGATGACTATGTTATGAAACAAGGTGGGTTTTTTTCTTTTCTTGTTTTCTGTGAATGTCCTGGTTCTGGCAAGGATAGCGTTAATTTCACAAGGAGCCAGGACAGGTGAAGAAGTAAAATGTCTAAAGAACAGTTCAGTTTCAATTTGATGATGTTATAATTATTTTTATGGCATATATAGCCAGTGAAAAAATCATTGCACAACCTGAAAAAAAGTAACCGTGACTTTTCTTTTTGGATTTCAGAAAACATATGCTATCATATTCATTTCTACACATCAGAATTGAACTATTAAAATACAGATCATTTTTATAGTGGGGAAGATAGTTATTTGTGTTAATTAGATTGTCAGCTTTTCAGTGGCATTTGTCTGTGAGAAATCCTAATCTGTGTTTAAACAGAAGTACATGAACTTCAATTCACGTTAAGCTCAATCTTAAAATTTCCCTCAGCTGAGTGTTGTAAGACAATTGTGATCAAGGTCTTGTGAGGGTACTTACAATGCTCATTTTCTTCTTTTGCCAGTCAGGTTATACATGCTGTCAGACTCAACTAAGATTTGTTGAAGTAAAGGGGGCTTAGTATTTTAGAAGTTTAGGTTCCAAACTTATGGGTTCATAGTACAGACACCAGTAGCAAACTAACCTGGAAAACAAAGAAAATGTGTTGGTTGTTTTCTGTATACTGCATCTGCGCTAGCAAACCTCATAACTATGATTCCTCACTGGTGCAGATTTTCTGGTTGTAGAAGGAGTGAAAACTCGGTGTAGATTAGTATTTTTATTTTTATTAGTAGAGACAAGGCCTTAGCCTTTGGCACACATTATCAATTTCGCCACCTGTGATATTGTTTGCTTGGAAATATGTTTGTTGCAATAACAAAATTAGTGCCATAAAGAGAGAATATTTTGCATTCATGAATTAAATCTCTGCTGTCAAAATCTAAGAAAAGAAAATATGGGAGCAGGAAAACAGAAAAATGTACTCGTTCCCTTTCTCATTATTGGCTGGGAAAAGTCTTGGAGAGGAGACAAGGACAAGGTTGTGAACATCTTCCAAATTTTTCATTACATAAAATTCTTGACTGTTATTTTAGAGTCCCATTGTAAATCATTGATAAAGCAGTGAATCGCTCAGCCTCACTTTTATACATCTTTGACATTTTGAGAAATATTGTGGCACAGACACTTAAAGAGAGTGTGTTTATTAAAAAAAAAAAACCAAAAAAAACCAAAAAAACAAAAAACACCACAAGAAACCTACAGTATCAACTTATTAGAATGCCATCTTCAGCTTAAATTGGTAGAACTCCCAAAACTGTTGTTCTAGTTAATTCTTCTACCTGGTCTGGCAAGATTGTCCACCCAGGATTTTAATCACCACTTTGAAGCATAGAAGTAGTGTCTGTCTATTGCTCTCGGCGGAGCAGGAGCTGCCTGCAGACATCTCTGTGGTGACCTGAAGGTCCTACCTGGACAGCTCCTGAAATAATTAGTGAATCACTTTGTTGTGGAGGTGGACAGCAGCCTTGCCTCAAGTTGGTCCGTTGTTCCCAATTAGCCCATTATTATGTCATCTGCAGAGATGAGCTGAGGAGTTCTTGGGCCACCCAGAGAATTCATGAGCAAGTGCATTGTGTTTGCACACAGGCACAGCCCTGATACCCAAATACACCACAATTATAATTATTAACTGTAGGACAAATTGAAATTTCATTCTTAAATCACTGTTACTGCAACTTAAACTCCACAGATTTTGCCATGATGAGTAACCATACAGTTTGGTAAAGAGTATGATTTTTTTCTACAAATTGAAAGATAGTCTGCATCTGGAATGTGTGCCAAAATAGACAGTCTTCAACTTGGAGGACAGGTTTCTTGCAAATTTTAAACCCCAGTTCCCTGATTTTCTCCAGAACAGAAGTTGCTATATGCTTCATTTTAGAGAACACCAAAACATGAAGCTATCAACGAAAATACTTTTGGAGGTCCCTGGAATGGTGACTGAAATTATTCTTTCTATTTTATGGGTCTTCAGAACTGAGTAACATCAGTGAAACTGATTTGGGAGCTGTGTGCTTCCCACTCATATGGGAGGGCTGACATGGAGCTGCCACCACTTGAACTTCTGGCACCCCTGCAGGCAGCCACTCAAGCCGGCAGATGTTGAAAACACTAATATGTTTTCATAAAACGGGTGTTTTTCAGCACAAATCTACTTTGCCACAAAGACCTCAGTCAGCCCTACTAGAGAAAAAAGTGAGGCAAGTTTTGAATTTTGGGAACGATTCGGCTCAAATCACTTCCTAATGAAAAGATAGCCTCGTTGACCTTACCAAAAAGGAACTTCTGAAAATGGTTTCTGATTCGCTTCATCTTTTGTAGCTCTTCTTTTCTATTATGCTGATTCTTGCCCATTGGCACCCTGATCAAAATCAGCTGCTAGCAGACCCTATGCATAGACTTGGTGGTATGCAAATCAGTTCTCATCAAAAACAGTGGCCTAGAGGCAGCTTCTGAGCTAAAAGCATCTGTCTAGATGTTATTGCTGTGCTTGTGAAACCAAACAGACTTTCTTACCAGCTCAACAAATAAGAATTCTCCATGTTGCTCTTGACCATTTTAGTTTGCTAAAATAGACATTTTACCGCTCTTTATCCCTTACCTGAAAAGATACACTGTTTTAGCACAGTAAAGAAGTAAGCTAGCAAATGAGGAAAGGTGAAGAGGAAAAGGTTCAGATGAAAGGCACTATATATATTTGCTGAGGCCTAGGACTTTTAATTATGTAGTCTTAACTTTTCCCTTTGTTGTTAACACAGTGCTCTGTTTTCTTGTTGCTGCATAACTCCTAGTTGTGCACCTGCGTAACACCTAGTTGTGTGGTATACTCTTAGGTCTTTTGACTAAAGCCATTTCTGTGTCTAGTGTCATACTTAGAGATAGATAATACAAGACTTTTAAATGGAAACCTACAAATGAAAAATATCTTATTTTAAACTTATTTGATGAAACTTTTAAAATCCTTCTTACATTGTTAGTAGATGTTGGCAAACAATATTTTTCACTGGAGATAAAATTAATTAAGGAGATGTCTTCTTAGAAATTTGGAACTAGT